CCTTGTGCAAGATCAGAAAACAAAGGCGATCGGTCCAACACATTCAAGTCATTGTGTGAGCCAGGCATTCCAAAAAATGCATGCCAAATCCATAAGTCATAAGATGCTACTGCTTCAAGAATAATGGTTGGCTTCTTTTGATGGCCTATACATTGACCTTGCCATGCCTTCGGACAATTTTTCCACTCCCAATGCATGCAATCTAAACTTCCCAACATGCCAGGAAACCCCCGAACCTCCCCAATAGCAAGTAATCTAGCAATGTCAGTTGGTGTCGGAGATCTCAGATATTCTTCACCAAATATTTCAATCACTGAATTACAAAATTGTTGCAAACTTTGAATTGCAGTACTTTCCCCGATACGTATGTAATCATCAACTGCATCGGCTGCAACACCATATGACAATATTCTCATCGCTGAAGTCATTTTTTGTAGGGGAGATAATCTAAGTACATAAGCTGCATCTTATTTTTGAAGAAAATATGAATTGTGTGCTTGGATTGCATTCAAAATTCGTAGATATAAAGAACGACCCATTCGAAAACATCTCCGAAATACTGTAGACGAGTACACTGGATTTGAAGCAAAATAATCTGCAAACAATCTGTCATGACCCTGCCTTCTATTTCTGTGTATATACCTGTGACCTACAACAGAACCACCTATCTTCTTTGACCTATCACTCTTCAGAATCTGAAGCATATTAGTATTATTCTGCTCATAAGCTCCTAAAAGTGCGACGATATATTCATCATCAGATTCATCATCAGAGGAAGAGGAAGAAGAAGAAGATGAAAATGAAGTCAATACGATGGATTTGAAGGTATTCATTATGTTCTGTTTTGTTTAAGTTATGATCGTATCAGTTGTGTGGAGTTGTCTGGCATATGAATAATGGATTTATATGAAAGCATAATTCATATGCCAAACATATATATATATATATAATGGAGGGAAAAAGAAATAGACATAATGGAGGGAAAAAGAAATAGGAAAAAGAATTGGGAACAGAAATGCAGGGAAACAAAAAAAAAATTATTATTATTTGCCTGACCGGTCGACCCGCCGATCGACCAACCGGTCGCCCCTTCCCAGTTCACAAACGGTGGGTTCAAACAATTCAAAACGGTTTAAAAAAAAAATTATGCTTACCGGTCAACCAACCGATTCACCCACGGGATTTGATGCGCCGTTGGAGTCAATGATATCAAATTGAGAAAATGAGACATTTTTTACTCAAATTTGGTGAAAAAAAAAAAGTTCAAGGTTGGAGATGCTCTTAAAGTTTTAATCGCCCTATCTAAAAAAAAAAAAAAGGTTAATTACAAAAAAAAATTCTAAAGTGTCACGCGTTCTTCACTCTAAACTCCACTGTTTCAATTTCGACAAATTAAATTCTAGAGTTCTATCTGTATTTCAATTTGACCTTTTTGTCTATCTCCGTCTGTATAAGATAACAGATAGAGTTTAAAGTGAAAAACACTAGAGTTTAAGTGAAAAACGCGTGAAACCTTAAAATTTATTTTATAATTAACCCTTTTATATTTTTAGTGATTTTAATTTTGAAAAAATGATTAATTATACAAATATCCCACAATCTGTCTCAACCATTCTAATGTGGTAACATTACACATATTTAGTTTTTTTAGTAGGAGATTTTGAAGTTTGAGGTCTCAAAATTTTGTTTTATTTTTTTTATACAAATGTTAGATGTGAATTAAGTATATTTTTATCTTAAGTTAGTTTTTTTTTTATGCAACTACTTTTTTTTTAATTACATTTTTTTGCTTATGGTTTGATAAATTGATTTGTTTAATTACAATTTTTTTCCCTTTCAATTTTACTTTTGATGCATTTAAGCCAGTTTTAAAAAAATCAAAGCATGTATTATTTGTTTGATTTTAATTTTAAAATTAATCTTTTTTAAAAAATATAATTTAGTATGATAGATTAATTGTTTTATTATAATAAAACAAGAATTAATGAGACTCTTATATATATGAAATAAATAAATAAATAAATAGACTAACTTTTCTACTCTAACACAACAGACACTTTTGCTTGGAGTGTAAAAAACAAATAAATAAAACTAACTTTTCTACTCTTGCTTGGAGTGTATAGAAACGGCGGCAGAAACCATTACATATAAATTAAAATAAATAAATAAATAAATAAGTGACAAAACGGTGCCGTTTTGAGGCACACAGCAGGCACAGCAGGGACATTACACAGCAGGGGCCCCGCGTCCGACCCAAAATAGGTTAGAAGCTAAAAATTAGCTCTTAACTAGCTTCCCAAATCATCTCTCTCTCTCTCTCTCTCTCTCTCTCTCTCTCGCACACACACTATGTATGTATGATTAAGCTTCAATCTGATCTTTTTTTTCTTCAAATTACTGTCATTTTGGTGAGGAAAGGAAGAATAATTTCTTTTGGGGGCATAATTACCCAGAAAAAAAAAAAAAAAAAAAAAAACATGCAGAGGACCTTAACACGTTGAGCCAACAAACAAAGTAGTATAAAAGCCACAAACTCCTCAAGCATTTAAAATCAAAGCTTGGTAGCCTCGTAACCATTCCATTCCCTTCCCTTCTTTCTTATCTCAATACCAAATACATTTGATTTTGCCTATTTCTCACTGTGTTCTAACTCATTCTTATCCATCTTTTGCAAATCATAATCAACCCAACAAGGCCTTAAATCCATGACACGAACAACAACAACATCAACATCTCATTTGTGAACTCAAGGAGCTTCTACCTCTCACACCCCCACCTCCGGCCACCACGCACTTCTCACCACGACGTCCTCGCTGTCCCCACTCAGATGCTCCTCGCCTTCATCAAACTAAAATTTCAAGGACAAAATGTTTCTTCATTCGAAACGTACAAAAAGGCCATCTGGGTCGCCACTGTTAGTCTGTTCTTGTATTCCTATTCCCATGTAATTCGCCGTGGAATAATGGTGATTCGTTTGGCTTCTTCAGTGCCTCTGGCTTCCATCCTTTTCCCAGGTAATGGGAGACATGTGTTCTTTCTGTTCTATGCCCTATTTTTGGCAAACGAGTCGACGGTGATTCGCCACAGATTCCAAATGGTGTGGAACTAGGTTTATCAGAGAATCATCAGTTCTCTTCCGCGAGAATTGAGGCAGCGAATAGAATGTGCCTGGAACATGAG